TTTTTTTTTTTAAGAGGTTGTGTGTCCCCACGTTTAGCGTCCACCCTCCGGGTCTGAAGCCTCTGCGGAGGCGCAGGGTCAGAGTTCGTGAGCGCTCCCGCCCAATTTGATAGCTCCTCGGGAGGGGGAACTTGGATAATTTGTAGTTGGAACGTTTGAATCGGAGGCTTTTTAGGGCCAAATACGTGCGCGAGGGTGGAGGCAGACGACGGCGTGAATCCATTCTGCTTCCCGCTCTTCGCCCGCACCCTGTCCCAGCCCAGCGGCCAGTGTTTGGGGTCCGGTGGCTCTAGCCTAGATCCAAGCAGGGGACGTTACGTTGTTGGAGTTGGGCCACAGATCCCCCGTTAAGGCGGTTTATTAGGTGGGAGCCATCCACTCTTGAAGGAAATTAGCTACAGGTCGAGATCCAGATGGATGGGAACGAACACTTGTAGGATTAAAAGTTGAGTAGCAACGATCCCGTCTTCTAGGGTTTGCTAATTCTTTTAATTCAGAGTAGAACCAAAAGTTTAAATCCCAGCTAACTGTGATTCGCATCTTAATTAGAAACTTAACTTAATTTTGCATTCCCTGGATCGAGCTTGTAATTTGCAGTTTGCGTACCTTTTTAAAAGAAAAATTAGAGGGAGGAGTGCTAATAAGAATGCCTCTTGCGGACTGGGTATGTAGTTCACGAAAGCTTCCCTAACCCGAGCGAGACCCTGGGTTCCCTCTTCAGCACTCTAAGTCTCTTGGTACTGCAAACTAGGCATTCACAATATTATGCCAAGCATTTAACCTAAAGCGCTTAGCCAGTTTATTAGATCATACAAACACTAAAAGAGTTACATACTTGGAGGATGATAATTTCGAATGGGCTTGTGTTACAGTGAATACTTATTATATCTTAGGGCACAGAAGTTACACTTAAAGGAATTGAAGGCTTATTTCACTTGTCCGTTAGTTCTCTCTCTGTCTGTCTGTCTGTCTGTCTCTCCTGGAAGTCTTGGCTAGGACAGACTGGACTTGAACTCAGATCTGCCAGTCTCTGTCTTCTGAGTGCTGGAATTAAAGGAGTGCCCCACACTGCCCAGCCTTGTCAGTTATTTCTAGTGGGAAGGAGATTAAATAAAGAATGCAAAGTGATATGAAAAGTCCATTTTAGACGAAGTTCTCCTTTAAAATGTACAGAATCTGGAAAAGTTTTAAAAAAATATACTCATTACTTTTCCTTAAATGAAGTGTGCTGGTTGTTGGGGGAGGGACAGTTTTGAAACCTAATTCTCACTTGAACCCAGAGTCCCACCTTGACATCCCAAGTGCTAGAATTTAAGGTGTTTGCCTCACATCTGGCCAAATGGGGGTGTTAAGATTTTAGAACAGTTATCTAGTACACTGCCAACTGGGATCTGACTTAAGGTAGACATGGTGCCTGGCATTTCCTGAACAACTGCTCTGGTGTCGGATACTTGATGTAAATCATTTCCATACATACAGCAGTCATGAAGGGAAATTTCTGTTTGTGTTATTGACAGAATCTTGATAGGCAGACCAGGCTGGCTTTGAACTCCTATAGATCACCTGCTTCCCCAGTCAACTTTGGGATTAAAGGTGTAGGCCACCACTCAGCCCAAAACGTTTAAAAAAAAAAACTTTGTTTTTGCAGTACTAGAGACCATGCTTAAGGCTTTCTATGTCTTAGCCTAGTGTTGTGCCATTCAGCTACAGCCTTTCTGGGTCACTTTCCAGGTGACTTTATAGGGGTTTTTTTGGGGGGGGGGCAGGGTTTCTCTGTGTAGTTTTGGCTGTCCTGAAACTTGCTCTGTAGACCAGGCTGACCTTCAACGCACAGACACCCACCTGCCTCTGTCACCTGAGTCTTGGTATCAAAGGTGTGTGCCACCACCGCCCGACTTAGGTTTGATCTTTTATCTGGCATCTAATAGTTACACATAGTTGGGGGTATAGTATGGCATTTTAGCACACATTTGCCATGTAAAGATCAGGTGAGAAAAATCAGCATACCTTATCAGCCCAGGCTTCAGCTTTAGGTTTTGATTCCTTGCCCCTAATTTTGCACTTGAAACCACCTCGGAGATTAGGTTGTGTGTTCTCGGGACATAGGTGGAGTAGAAGTGGAGCTGACATGCTACTACAGGTTTTTTACCTTCTCAAACAAAACTTGTTGGTTCTGAACACACCATGTAGACCAGGCTGGCCTACAACTCATAGAAACCCTCCTTCCTCTGCCCCGAGTGGTGGCATGGGACACCATACGCAGCCAAAAACTTTGTTACAGTACTAGGGACTGTACCTAGGACATTCTATATGCTAGCTAAATGCTCTTGCCACTCTGCTATATTCTCAGCCCAAACAAAAGTTTTCTTGATCACTTTCCAAGTGATGTAGTCAGCCAGTCCGTAGATTTCAAATCATAGAACCAGTAACTTCCTTATTTAATTGAGCCTGAAGGAAGGGCGAAAGAAACAGTAAACTGCTGGTGCCTTGCTGCTCTAATGAGTTCTTTGCTGGGTTAGTTTTTGTGGACTCAATGGTGTGTGTTTGTTTTTCTCCAGATAGGCTTTCATTGTAGTTCAGGCTGCCCTCAGATTTGCTATGTAACAAGATTGGCTTGAACCCCAATCCTCTGCTCTTGGTTCAAGTTTTAGGATTTCAGAAGTATGCAACCTCACCTTGCTTCAATTTCATTAATTCATATTCTTTCTCATTCTCCCTTTGTCCCCACCCCCACCCCATTCCTTCCTCTCCTCTCTGAGGCAGATTGAGTGGCCTGAACTCAGTAGTTGAGAATAATTTCTGGTCTTCCTTAAACTCCTAAGTGCTGGGATTATAGGTGTGCACCACTGTGCCCCACATTTTTGGCCTTGGCATGTACCTCCATCAAACACACTCTCTGGGTTTCCTGTATCTTTCTCGAGCTGTGGAGCTATAGATGACCTTGAATGTCTGACCTTCCAAATCCTTAGTCCTAGGATAACAGACACCACCTTACCTGGTTTGTGTAGTGTTAGGATTAAACCCAGACTTCCTGCATGCTAGGTAAATACTGTCACTGGAGTATATATCCCCATCCTTCAATTTTGTTCTTTTGATAGTATTTTGCTGTGTTGACTGCAACTTGGTGGGTATGCTAGGCTGGCCTCAAACTTGCCACAGTCTTCCTGCCTGTCCTCATTCTTAAAGTTGTGACAGGCTAAAACAGTGTGGTCTTAGGGTGCTCTTGTGCGTCCGTGCAGAGCTCCTGTTTGGGGGAGGGGAGGATGAAGCTTGAACTATTTCAGTGTCCTCATTTAAACAGATCTGCAGAAACATACATGTCAAGCTCAACATGAATGTGGACAGGAGTCTTACTCTGAATGTGCTGTTATGTTTGACTTGTTAAGGATGTACATTTATAATATTGAAATATAGGTGCTTTATTTGTCAACTACATTTAGAGAAGGTTGTACAGCTTATATCTTAATGTTAGTTAAAGTGTTTCTACTCACTCGGTTATTGTAACTGTAAAAGTCACGGTCTTTATTTGCTACTAAAGAATTTTACTTTGGGGTCTGGGTAGATGGTTCAGACATAATGTAGGCAAGAAGACATAGGCAAACATTAAAAAAACAATCCTAGAAATGACAGCGGCGCACGCCTTTAATCCCAGCTCTTGGGAGGCAGAGGCGGGAGGGTCTCTGTGAGTTGCAGGCCAGCCTTAGTTCAGATACAGAAAGTTTTTGTGAAGGTAAAAAACCTTTAGTGTGGTGTGTCAACTCTGCTAACAATCCACCATATGTCCTGAGAACACACAACCTAATCTCTGAAGTTCCACTCTGTGAGTTCAAGGCCAATCTGGTCTACAGACAGAGTGAGTTCCAGAACAGACTTAAAGCTACAGAGAAACCCTATCACAAAAACAAAATCAAAAATCCCCGAAAACTAGAAGAGCATTGTAATGTGGTAAAATGAGCAAAGTTCTTACAAGAACGGTGTAAGCACAGTAGGAAGTAGGCCGATGCCCTAAAAGTGAAGGGATTATTAGGCCACGGAAGTGACACGTGCCTTCTATCCCAGCAGTCCTCCAAGCTCTAGTGGATCTCTTGAGTTGAAGGCCATCCTGGTCTATATAGTGAGTTCCAAGACAGCCACTGCTGCATTGTGAGATCCTTGTATGTGGGGGCTGGAAAGGGTGTACAGACACAACTAAATAAGTGGAAACTTTAAAAATTTTTTGGGTTTTTGCTTTGTTAATCTTTGAAATCGCTAGTGTGATGATTCAAGCTCCCACTTGGGAAACTGAGACAGGAGAATTGTTGTTTAAGGGCTGGCCTGGGCTAATGAAAAAACTAAGATTTATTTATTTATTTTATTTTTTGGTGTGTGTGGGGGGGTGAGACAGGGTTTCTCTGTGTAACCACCCTTACTGTCCTAGAACTCTCTGTAGACCAGGCTGACCTCGAACTATTTTATTTTTCTTGAAGAAGGCTGTCAGGATGGCTCAGTGGGTAAAAGCGTCTGCTGCCAAGCCTGATGAACTGAATTCCATCTCTGGGATCCACATGTTGGAAGGAGAGACCCTCCTCTCCAGATTTGTCCTTTGACCTCCACATGTGGGCACTATTTTTAAGTGAAAAAGAAAGGGAAAAATTTAATCTTGTATTCCTTGGACATGTGTTTGCTTCCTTCAGGGAACAAGTGCAGAGCAGGATAATCGGTTCAGCAACAAGCAGAAGAAACTCCTCAAGCAACTGAAATTTGCAGAATGCCTAGAAAAAAAGGTATTCTGGGTGGGACTGTTGCCTTTTTACAATTGCTGAATTTGAGGGTTTGGGAGATGAACTGTGACTTGTGTAAAAATAAATAAAAGTTGTTGGTTGCACAGTGCAACCAAAGAATGAGCATGGTAGATAATTTTGTAAATGTGCATAAGCTAAAAACATATTTAGATAAAGTATAACTCAGGTTCTTTGAGCAGTGAACTTGTACTTAACAGTTTGCATGTTTCACCAGGTGGACATGAGCAAAGTAAATTTGGAGGTTATAAAGCCTTGGATAACAAAAAGAGTAACTGAAATCCTTGGATTTGAAGATGATGTTGTGATTGAGTTTATATTCAACCAGCTGGAAGTGAAGGTACTAATACACAGATGGTTCTTATTTCTGAATATGTGGCATAATTTGTGAATCTATCAAAACTCAGTTTCTATGGAATACAAATATAGAAGGGCTATTTTTACAATGTTTGTTGTGGAAAGAATTCACTTTGTAAACAACTGTTAAGGCTGGAAGTTTAGTGAAGGTGCATAGTTTTGAAAGCTACACAGGTGAAAATCAAACTTACTGTTTGTAATTTTGCTGTTACATGTTAAGTTACTTTGACAGCAATTTTCTAATGATAATGTGATTTATGATTTAAAAGGCCTGAACCAAAATGGAAGTTATTCCTTGCGTCTGAAGTATAGCACCATCACCTTATTAGGTCACAGCAGAGTGAGTGTCCCAATGTCGCTCTGACCCAACTCCCTTGATGACGCAGTGTGTGTTTGGAGGTGAGTTGTGTAAAGTGGCCGAACATCAACAACAACAACAAAAACACAAGAGCAATTGGTAAAGCTGTGTACTGCTCTTTAACGTAGCTTTTGAGATGGACATTTATTTGAAGCATGAGGGGCAATTCTGATTTGATTGGATGTTGTTTTTAAAAAAGCTAAAGTCTTTAGCTCTAGTTGCAAGTCAGCTGGTTACCAGTTAGAATTTAGGCACAGGATTCTGTTTACATTCTAGTTAAACTTCAGGCTGATGAATTGACAGTCCTGTGAAAGCCAGTTAACATAATTGTTCCTGTCATCCAATATGAAATAATACAAGATAATACAACTGGTGTTTAAAAACATTTGTTACATAGTGTACTATTTTGCCATGGTATCCCAAAGGACAGGAAAGGTGTACCATATAACCTTTTGGTGAATATACCAATGTGCATTTACTTTTCCATTACTCCTTTCCCAAAGAGTTCATGCTTGAATTTTGACAGAACAGTTATCATTCCAACTGATAAGGTATTTCATTTTTTTTAAAACAATATGGTAATTATTTTGCTTTGAATGTTTTAAAGACTTAATTTTAAGAACGGACTTTATATTTATAAAGTATATTTATTTTACTTTGAGACCAGAAACATGGGAAAATGTTTTTTAAATGATGTTTAGTGGTAGATTTTATTGGAGAAATGCTTTACTGATTTGAATTTTAGTGTACTTTTAAAACCTAAATATCTGGTAGTATTTCCCCTTGTAGTGAGCATGAGATTAAAGTTTAGAACTTTTTAAACAATTTTTTCTTTTTTTGTGGTTGTGTACTCATTATTGCTTGTTCGTCTTTTGCAATTTAGATAAATGATATAACATTAAACTCAAGGTGGTTGAGTTGCAGTAGGGAGTCGGAAGCAAGCCAAGGGAACATCTTTCTCTACAGGGGACTTGGCGATTCCAAACCCCCAAGGTTCCAAGAAGAAACTGAAGACACCTGGAATCTGTACTTGCTTTGTGCTATTGAGCTGTGCTTGTTATATGGACCTTGTTGCTTGACCAACAGATCTAGTGTTTAAAAACCCAATTACTTTTTAGAAGTCTTGACTCTTAGTTTTGTGGACAGTTGAGCATCTGTGGCATTGTTAGTAATAGGTTATCATGTGCAGTAGTCAGGCTTCTAGCTTAGTCTTCAGAGGTTACAGAGTGCATGCATTACTTGTTCTTTTAACTGAGCACTAGATAGTAGACCCTTTATAGAAAGTTACCTGTAATGTAAAGAGAGGTGTTATGTACATTTTCAATTTCTTGTTGGGGGAAGTTTTCCAGCCAAGCAAATACTTGTTAGTAAGTGCAAGAATTGATAGATGTTCCATGATTGTTTTTAAAGTTGATAAGTATATAAGGCCCACTAACAGCCATACAGTCTAAATACTTAGGAATCCACAAAGGCTGCTCTGATGCTTTTGGTTCAGGGAGGGAGATTGATAATCTAGAGAGTACATTACCAAGAAGCAACTAGGGAAAACTTAAAATAGCAGAGCATATATGTACCTAAGCCCCTTATGGTAGACTTAAATACTAATTTAAATGAGTTTTAGGTTGGTTGGTTGGTTTCGAAGTAAACTGTTTTTCTTCTTGTCATGTCTTTTTGCAGAATCCAGATTCCAAGATGATGCAAATCAACCTGACTGGATTTTTGAATGGGAAAAATGCTCGAGAATTCATGGGAGAACTGTGGCCCCTGCTGTTGAGTGCACAAGAGAACATCGCTGGGATCCCCTCTGCTTTCCTAGAATTGAAGAAGGAAGAAATAAAACAGAGACAAGTAATAGTCCTTTTCATATTGATGACAGAAGTGGTGTACGGACTGACGGTTTGCCTTTGGCCTATTTTAGCTTCTGTGATCTGGCTATGGTGTGCTGTGATATGTTTGTACAGTGAGTTGTGGTTTACCACTCCTTTGAAACTTAGAGTGCCATTTTTCAGGAGGCCGGTAATTGGGTAGATGCTTTATTTTTTTGATTATTAAAATACAAGTGCATTTAACTTTAAAAGAAATTCTAGCTTAAGAATGTTCTCACATAGACAGTAATTGTAAAGTCACGAGAGTCGGATAGGTGAAAAATGTTGTGAGAGTAAAGTTGGGAGCACATGAGCACATCTGAACACCCAGGACTGGTGGGGTGATACAGCTCTAGAGTTTATCAGCATAGTGTTTGGATTGCGTGTTCTCATCTTTCACCTGTGTATTCACAGATTGAACAAGAAAAATTGGCTTCTCTAAAAAAACAAGATGAAGATAAAGATAAGAGGGATAAGGAAGAAAAAGAAAGCAGCAGAGAAAAAAGGGAGCGGTCTCGGAGCCCGAGAAGGTAGGACATAGCAGGTGCACACTAGGGAATGCTGGCAGAAGTTCCTCAGCTAGAGTATTGGGGGGCTATTGTTCGCCTCTGGACTAACAGAATCTTTTATGTTGCTAGGCATTTTAGCACGTTTTTATAAAGCTACCCAGGAGGTTTGAAGCAGTGGAGGTGGGGTGTGTAGCTTCTAGGCCAGCCAAGATAACACTGTGATACTCTCTTTGTTTGAGACAGATCATTTGACTGAAATGATCACCTCTAATTTAAGTGAATTACTTACTAAGTAGAAATTTAAATTTCATATTGCTTTGCTTAAGTAAAGCATTTGGGGTTTTTTGTTGTTGTTGTTGTTACTACATTCTGACTCTTTTCATTTCCCTTTTATTAAAATTCTGCTCGTTAGCCATTCATATACTTACCTAATTCCTTGTTCTGCTTTTCTCAGATGGTTGTACTGAACCCAAACCTCAGACCATTTATTTGTTTTCTTCTTTCTTCCAATGAGACAATTGTTAGGTTCATATTTTTAAACCCACGGTTCAGCTTCTACTATATTTGTGGTGAAAGGTGAGAATTCCATTAGGCTTTTCATTTTTAGGATTTTTATTTTAATTTGTGGGAATTTGTAAAGAAAAAAGATGATTTTTTTTTTCTTTAGTTTGTGCTGAATTCTAAAACCTACTGTAGAGGCAGTGATTGCTTCTAAAGCTGAATGTGAGCCAGCGGTGGACCACATCTGCTGTTAGGGATGATAACACTTTTCAATTAGGCACACTACAGTTACAAAGGAAGAAACCTCCCCCCCCATTAAAAAAAAAGCATCTTTTGAGAATTTGGCATTTCTCTTTTCCTGTGCCTACATTTTGCCAGCCATTTTCCGCATCTTGAGGCTCTGCCTGATCGGCTCTGCTAGGAGCTTGCCTGAACCTCAGCTCTGTATTTTGGTAGGGTTGATGTTTGCTAAGGAAATGGTGGCTTTAAGCATCTTCATCTGAGGCGTTGGTCTTTGAAAGACCACTGGGAATAGTTGAGAACCAACACCTACCCAAGTCGGTGCCTCCTCCTCTAACTGATACTCGAGGCTGTTACCTCTGTCTGCTTGTCCTTCTAGTTCTCTCTGGCCTTTTCCCTCTCAAGTAGATGAAATGGAAATCTTGTTTCATGTGAAACTTCTCAGATACAGACAACAGTGGGTAACTTAAAAGATTAATCCTCGATTTTTTTCCTTTGTCTGCACCACACCACATTATTCAAAAATCTGAAAAACTTGCTTTCATCCTAGACGCAAATCCAGATCTCCTTCCCCTAGAAGACGATCTTCCCCTGTCAGGAGAGAGAGAAAGCGCAGTCACTCTCGATCTCCCCGTCACAGAACCAAGAGCCGGAGCCCTTCCCCTGCCCCAGAAAAGAAGGAGAAATCTCCAGAGCTCCCAGAACCATCAGTGAGAACTAAAGACTCTTCCGTACAGGAGGCCACGTCTACAAGGCATGTTCCTGACATTGTGTTACATAATCACACTGTAGGCTGTTCACACCTCCTACAAATAGATATTGCTAATTTAAAATGATTGTTTTCCTTTTAGATATTTTCTAAGGTTTTTTATCTTATTACAAAGTTGAAATTATATATAAAGAAGAAAATGCTTTAGAGGTGAACTAACCACTTGCATTGTTTTGTTGTTTTGTTTTAATGTGTTTTGGTGTTTTGCCATGGGTGTCGGGTCCCCTGAAACTGGAGTCACAGACAGCTGTGAGTTGCCATATGGGTGCTGGGAATTGATCCCAGGTCCTTTGGAAGAACAGTCAGTGCTCTTAACTGATGAACCATCTCTCCAGCCCTATCTGTTGTATTCCTTAGAAATTTTTGTGTATTTGTTTGTTTGTTGTTTTTCGAGACAGGGTTTCTCTGTAGCTTTGGAGCCTGTCCCGGAACTAGCTGTTGTAGACCAGGCTGGCCTCAAACTCACAGAGATCCACCTGCCTCTGCTGGGATTAAAGGCGTGCGCCACCACCGCCTGGCCATAAAATTTTTATGTATTGTAGCGTAATCTTCCTACCCTCTTGCCACAATATACTGTGGACAAGTTCCTGTTGGTTTTGTCCTCTTTTTGTAGTGGGGAATACAACCCAGAGCTTTGCACATGCGTTGTCATTGACCTACATTTCAGTTTTCACCCCCGGACCTCTGTTAACTGAAGTACAAATTATACCGAATAAAAGCCACTCCCTCCCTCTCTAATGGGAACGTCTTGTGCTCTCTGGCTGCCTTAAGCTTGACCATGGCATGCAGTACATGACACTGCAGCCCCTGCAGCTGTGGACCTGTGACGGGTGCTGTCCACAGATTGCACACACGATGGTTGGGTAGGTAAGGGGATGCTGTCCTGACTGGACTTTGTCCATTAGCTTCTGTCCCCTCATGGTTCCAAAGGCTCCTAGGGGTCAGGCTTTGTGGACTCCAGCAGTTGGATAGTTGGATAGCGAGAGTCCTTGCTCGCATGTGAAGCGGGCATATAAATTCTTAGTTGCTCAATGAATTCTGGTGTGTGCCTGTCTTTTGAAGCCAGGGTCTTTGCAGATACTGAAAAGTTTTTTTGTTGTTGTTGGTTTTGTTGTTGTTGTTGTTTGTTTGTTTGTTTTTAAGATTTATTTATTATGTGTACAACTTTCTGCCTCCATGTATGCCCGCATGCCAGAAGAGGGCGCCAGATCTCACTACAGATGGTTGTGAGCCACCATGTGGTTGCTGGGAATTGAACTCAGGACCTCTGGAAAAGCAGCCAATGCTCTTAGCCACTTAGCCATTGAGTCATCTCTCCAGCCCCTGAAAAGTTTTTTTTTTGAATAAGATGGATCTATATCTGTTAATTTATTGCTTTTTAATTTATTTGCATTGGGCAACAGGTCACATTGTTGAGAGTACAGCTTTGTGGAGTTGGCCCACTCCTTGATTTTAATGTGGGCTTCCAGGGAATTTAACTGAGGTTGTCAAACTTGCACCAGAAATTCTTTACCAAAGGCAGCCATTTTGCTAGCCCTTGAAAACCCTTAAAAGAGAGCCAGGTCAGTATATGTAGTTGTGTTGGCTTAGGATTCTAAGAAGAGTAGAGGAAAAAAAACAAAGCAATGTTGTTTTCACAGTGACATCCTGAAAGCTCCCAAACCTGAGCCTGTACCAGAGCCCAAAGAACCTTCTCCAGAAAAAAATTCCAAAAAGGAAAAGGAAAAGACCCGACCAAGATCTCGATCACGTTCCAAGTCACGGTCTCGGACCCGTTCTCGATCACCTTCTCATACTAGACCAAGACGACGACATCGATCCCGATCCAGGTGTGTTGTGGCCTTGGGACGAGTACACGGTTCAGGCTGTGAGTGCTGATGCTGGAGGTGGAGTTGTAAACAGTGTCACCATCTGTTCAGAGTGAAGGTCACTCTGCGCTTATGTGAAGTCCACTTTTCTGGGCACTTTCAGAATGTACATAAGCATAAGTTATGGCACTGGAAATTTCGCCGTGAAATTCCTTGTTCTTAGTTTATTTGGGGCCTAATTCTGTTTGTTTTGGCAGATCGTACTCTCCTAGAAGGCGGCCAAGCCCAAGAAGGCGACCATCTCCTCGAAGAAGAACTCCGCCAAGACGGATGCCTCCTCCACCAAGGCACAGGAGGAGTAGGTCTCCAGGGAGACGGTGAGACTCTCTTAGTGGCAGGTGCCTGACACTTCAGGGTGATCTTTGGTATAATTTCAGAATCCTTTTTTGCTTTTTGTTCGCTGGAAGACAGAGCTCATAAATTATAGCAGGGAATGTCTTGTGAACAGCATGATGCTCTTCAAGTGTGGTGGTGCTTGAGCTGTGAGAAACATCTGTTGTTGGGAAAGACTCAAGTCACTGGTTTGTAGGTCCAGTGCATGTATATTATGTGTACAAGCGTTTTGTCTGCATTTCATGCACCTGTGTGCAGTAACCCCAGAGAACAAAAGAGGGTGTTGGACCCCCGAAACTGGAGTTACAGAAACTTCTGATCATCTGTCTCCTTTGCAAGGGAAATGGGTGCTCTTCACCCCTAAACCATCCTTCCCTGAGCTGCCTTCCTCCCATCTACTTGTAACTTAATATAACTTTTGAAAGAAAACTGGTTGAATAATGAATCAGATTATTTTACCTGTTTTTTAAAGAACCCATTTGCTATTTTACCTTACATTTTAAGAACTTACTTTGTGTGCATACACACACACAATAACTTGTTCCTGGAGGTCCGTGCACAACTGGATTCCATTATCCTTCCTTTGTTTGGTTCTAGGGGATTAAGCTTGTGTCACCTGGCTTGCAAAGTACCTTTAATATGTTACTCTTTTTATAAAAAGATTTATTTTGCGTATGTGTGGGGGGGTGTCTGAGAGAGAGAGAGAGAGAGAGAGAGAGAGATTGAAACTACCTGCAGAGGTCCGAACTTGTGTCCTCTGGAGAGCCGCTAAAGCTTTAACTGCTAAGCCATTTCTTCCATGCTTTGTAATGAAGACTTTGTAACAGCTCAGACAGAGGAAAGTTCCCTATAATTCCATTCCTTTTTTGTTTACACTGTAAAGATGTGTCTCTGTCTGATGTGCCTTCTGATTGGTTTAATGAAGAGATAAGTGACCAATCGCTAGGCCGGAGAGATAGGTGGGATTTCCGGGGAGAAAGAACAATAGAGGAGGAGGAACCTAGGTGACAGGATTTCTGACTTGCAGCAAGTCAGTTGTGCCTCACTAAGAAGCGGTAACAGCTGCATGGCAGAATGTAGATTTAAGAAAATGCGGGTTAATTAAGTTATAAGAGCTAGTTGGGGAAAGGCCTAAGTCAAGGCCATGCTTTCATAGTTAGTATGTCTCAGGTCATAATTGGCGGGCTGACAGTCCAAAGATACTCCAATAAGAAAGCTTGATACGTTGAGCCATTACTAATAGCTTACAGTGGCTACGTTTGTGGCAATTAGACAGTCATCTAATTCAGCCAATAGTATTAACTCATTTTAAACATTGCTAAAATGTTTAATATGCTTAACCATTCTAAAACAGGCATAAGATAAAATGTTTTTATCTTAGATATATTATAGCAATAGATTGTGTCTAACTCTACGTAAAATGAGACCTGGTGTGCAGGAACAGGATTTTCTGTCTTGTCGATTTGTTGACTGGGCTTTCTTTTCGAGTCTGCTGTGGACAGAACTTTGTTGTCTGTTTTTCCTTGTTGATGCTGGTTGAACCAGGGCCTCACTCAGACTGAGTGTGTGTGCCAACTCTGAAGTACACCCCCAGCCTTAGAAACACTGTTGAATTAATATTCTTTACCAAAAACCACAGCAGCTAGAAAATGGGGAAACATCAAATAAGCTTCTTCAAATTCTATCTGTACAGGTAGGACTTTTAGACTCAGACTTTAATAACAGCAAATACCATCTTTGGGGAGTGTTGTGAAGGTACTGCTTTGTTGTTGTTGTTGTTTTTGAAACAGGGTTTCTCGGTAGCTTTGGAGCCTGTCCTGGAACTAGCTGTTGTAGACCAGGCTGGCCTCGAACTCATAGAGATCCACCTGCCTCTGCCTCCCGAGTGTTGGGGTTAAAGGCGTGCGCCACCACCGCCTAGCCAAGGTAATGCTTTTTAAGCGTGTAGAATTGGTGCTGTAGCTGGTGGCTACGACAGTCATGTACATGGTGGAACTCCAGGCATCACACTTCACATTGATCATTCTGTTTTGGAAAGAAGTAATGCCAGTGCTCCTTAGTACACCACTGAGGAAACTACAATTTCTTACATTGGAGCTTTGCAAACAGCCTCTCTCATTAGTATGCACTAAACAATTTAGCAGTCACAGTGTTTTGCAGATTGTGTAAGATTCCCTTTCAGCCAGTTTTTAATCTCACACTTAAGGTAGGGTTTCTTTTTTTCAGGTTCTCAGGAATTCTTCTGCCAAAGGTGAATTCTGCAGGTACACGTAATTGCAACAGAACTTACAGATTTTGCCGCAGAATTCAAAAGGTCCCTACTTCTAAGTTTATGTAGCTAAATGAATTTCAAACCTTGCACATATTTTTAGTGCAGCTTAAAAGTTGCTTGGCATCACTCTGAATGAGCAGTGCTCTCTCACCCTCAAAGCTATACAAACTCATAGCTCCATCATCACTCTTCAGGAAGAGGCTGCTTCGCTACTGAATTATATAGCACTCAGTTCAGACACAGCCACAATGAGTGTGTGTGTACTCTCAGAAACAGCTGTTTCCTGTCCTAGGTGATGATTTTATTTCCAATCTTATTGAAGTAATTTGTGTACTTAGCTACATAAACTCAAAAGTTGGATAAGCTAGCTGTATTTCTGTGTACATTGTACATACTGTAAAGTGATTCTCCATAGGGATGCAGGGGTAAAGCGAGTGCTTTCTTCCGCAGAAGGAGGCGTTCTTCCGCATCATTGTCTGGAAGTAGTTCTTCGTCCTCTTCATCTCGTTCCCGGTCACCACCAAAGAAGCCTCCCAAGAGGACATCTAGCCCCCCTCGAAAAACTCGTAGGCTATCTCCTTCAGCAAGTCCTCCAAGGCGAAGGCACAGGCCATCGTCTCCAGCAACTCCACCACCCAAAACTCGCCATTCTCCAACCCCCCAGCAGTCGAACCGCACAAGAAAAAGTCGTGTTTCTGTGTCTCCAGGAAGAACTTCGGGTAAAGGTAAAGACACAAATCATTTTGTTCTCTTTGACATCAGGGTGAACCCAGTTGTGCCCATCTGCAGAAGCTGCTAGGCGTTACTTTCTGTATGACACCGTCAATGACTTGCTTGCCCTTCTGTTCTCAAGGCTTTGCTGAGAGGTGGTGATAGGGAAAGGTAGGTTGTTTTTCCAGTGCCCTCTGTGTGGGCAGTGGCGCCACAGATCACTAAGTTGGGACTGTTTGAGTTGGGGTAACAATTGGAACTTGTTCTTCCTGTAAGGATTCGTTTTATTACTCTGAGACCAGTAAACTATCCCACCCTCCCCACACCCCTTCTTAAGACTTTTTGTCTGGTACCTTCCTTGAGAATTTTGTGTTCTGTTATTCTTTTTGGTCATGTTTATGCCCTTGGCCAAGGGAAGATAGATTGATTGATTTAAGGTCTAGGCGAGGTTCTTGGGTGCTGCCCTCACTCTGTTCAGTAGATTGGTTTCTAAGAAATTGATGGCTTGTGATTGTGCCAGCCAAGAGAATGTTTGTTAGTGCTAAAGCCGCAGCAGGTTGTGGCTTGCAGGGACTTTGGCACTAAAATACACATGGAGAAAGAGGAGGATAGGATCCATTCGAATGGTGCCTTTGCTAGAACTGGAGTAACACAGGCAGCCTGAAAGGTGAATGGAGTAGGTGGGAGGATTGGGAAAGCCCATTGGCTGCCCGAGTGCTGGAAGAACACTGGCGCACCACCTAGCTATTTTTTTTAAACCTGTTAGGATGAGAAGGATCAGTGGAAAGAGGATCTGCTGGTGATGGCAAGCCATAAAAATAATGTGCAAATTCTTTATTGACTTTAATGTCAAGTTCATCCAGTGACAAATAAGATGTATTTAAGACAGCTATTTTTCTTTTTATAACATGCACTGTATTACTTTCTTTTGTGTGTGTGGTTTTTCGAGGCAGGGTTTCTCTCTGGCTTTGGAGCCTGTCCTGGAACTAGCTCTTGTAGACTAGGCTGGTCTCAAACTCTCAAAGATCCACCTGCCTCTGCCTCCCGAGTGCTGGAATTAAAGGTGTGTGCCAACATCACCCGACTGTATTACTTTTTATATAAAATGAGAACATTTCAGCCTTTCTGAAGTTCCTCTCACCTTGTCCTAATCTGATACTTAATGCTCTAGTCTTCTTGTCTTTTCCTGTGAGCTTTACATTGAAAATATTTCTTTTGTTTAGAGCTGGAAAGCTCTCTAGGAGGAAGACACTCTTAAGTGTTCCCACTATTATTTTAGAAAAGTACATGGTTTTTTCTATTTAGATTATAGAAGAGTTATTTTAAAATACCTGACCAGAAGGGGTTCTATTAGAATAGGGCAGTTATTGGGATTCATTAGTCACTTTTTATGAGTCTCCAGTGCTGGTCTCCTGTCTTGATGCATGCCTCATCTGTGTGGAATGGCCACTCGAGATGGCTTGTGGGGAACAGACGAGTTGTGTTCTGTGGGGAGCTTAGTCTCCTTCATGTCCACTAAAGCTCAGAATTGATGTGCGCTGTGTGGGATCACCCTTGTGATGAAATGTGAGAGCTAGGAGAGACCCTGAAGTGTCGGGCTCTTCAGCGAGGTGACTTGGTCAAGGCTAACTACTTAGTAAACGATTAAAAGTTCATTCCGAGTTAGAGTGAGAACTGTCAAACTCCAAATGCCTTTGTGTTGATTAGGGAGTAGGGTGAAGGGCAGAATGAAGTTCTTTGGCGTCTCTACCTGGTGTGATTTCAGAAATGCCCGCTTTGGGGGTTTCTGGACACTTGGAACCGTGGCACTACTGTAATATGGTAAAATTCTTGTTTGTGCTTCATTATCAGATGTTTGTGGGGTCTGGTGGGCTGCTGTTGATAATAGGCTGAGATGAGAGGAAGGGAAGAAAAGTGGACAATTTGACAGTAAATCATTTGGAGTGCAGTTAACAGTCCCATCAAGGGTGTTTGGAGAGACTTTGAATCGGTTACAATCCAGTGCTGCATGAACTTGTACTTCAGTCAAATGTCCTGGCACGGCCTGTACCTTTTGAATCAGCCAAACTATTGTGCTTTGTGGATACTTGATGTGTTTTACAATTTCTGCTTACAGTAATTTAACTTTGCAGGTTATCTTTGGGCACTCTAAGATTAATAATTAATAGGACTTTTGAATTGCTTCAAAATTCTGGTTTTAGAGCTGTTCTCTTGGATTTCTTATTTCATGCTAGAATGATTTGCTCCCTGAATTCTTTTTTTGTTTTGTTTTATTTTCTTTTTTCAAGACATGGTTTCTCTGTGTAACAGCCCTGGTTGCCCTGGAACTCACTCTGTGGACCAGGCTGGCTTTAAACTTACAGAGATCCACCTGCCTCTGCCTCCTGAGTACTGGGATTAAAGGCATGCATCACTACTGTCTGGCAGAGTGATTTAACTCAGGAGTAAGATAAAGTGTATGCTACAAACACTATTATTAAAGGGTATTTTAGTTAAGCCATTAATGAGACGTTAAACCAGGATGAACCCTCCTGTGTGTTATTCCCTCTGTTTAACAAAGTATGTAATGTTGGCTAGATGTGATGGTGCGCACACCCTCACCCACCAGATGGGGTTTGTGTATTCCTCCCTGTCCTGATCCGAATTCAGATTAGCCTTGAACTCAAGGTTCCCCCAACCAACCTCTGCCTGTGGAGTGCTGAGGTCAAAGCCATGTGTTACCACTACCTGATGATAGTACACTTCTTTAATTCTGACATCACATTGCTATGCTGAAGTTGGACAGTAGTGAGACTTTATCTCAAGAAATATAAAAGCAATGTTAATTTTAGTTATGTTTCTTTAAAAAAAAAATGCCTTCTTACAGCCAAGCAAGCCACCTTCCAGATAGTTTTAAAATTTGATACTTTGAGAAAGTAAATTTGACATGTAGGCGGTTTCCTTTTTTGTTTGTTTGTTTGGTTAGTTTGTCTTTTAAAGCCTTGGGAATAGTAGTATATTACGTAATCTAGGCTAGCAGTTCTGTCTCAAGCTTCCTCTATGTTGGAATTTTTTTAAATTATGTATGCACAGTAAGCAGATATTCATAGGCCAGAATAGGCATCCTAGCTGAACCTGGAGTTACAGGTAGCTGTGAGCTCCTCATACGGGTGTTGAAAACCAACCTGGGTCCTCTGTCCGAGCAGCAAGTGCTCTTGACCACTGAGCTTCACTCCAGCCCATTGCTTTTATGAAGTGTTGACTATTCTCACCCAGTTCAGTGGTTTGTCCAAATAACATTAATAGGTAGAATCATTAACTAAAGGAATGTGGCTCAGGGATTCAGGACTTGTCTACTATGTGTGATATTTCAGTGGTAATTATCTCTTTGGTAACTTTAACAAAGATAAGGTTGAAGTTTTAGACCAACAGTTCTCGTGGTTGCTACTCTGTATAGTCTATGACAATTCCTAGAGTATTAAAAAAGGTATAATTAATTGTATTTTAATAAGACATCCTGCCAGGTGGTGGTAGCGCACACCATTAAGCCCAGGAGGCAGAGGCAGGCGGATCTCTGTGAGTTCAAGTCCAGCCTGGTCTACAACAGCTAGTTCTAGGACAGGTTCCAAAGCCTGTCTCGGAAAAAAAAAATCAAAATAAATAGATAAAGCACTATTCTTTATGATTGTGTGTGAGTTTTTCCTTCACTTGTTTTTAGTGACAAAACATAAAGGTACTGAGAAAAGAGAGTCACCGTCACCAGCACCCAAGCCGAGAAAAGTGGAGCTGTCTGAGTCTGGTAAGTTGTAATGATTTTCTAGAGGTCAGCTTTTTCTTTTCCCGTCCATATTTGATTATTCCCCTTGGGTTGGAAAGTCATTGTATGGGCAGTACAGTAGAGAACAGCTGAAACTGGAGCGCCCAGACTGAGATCCCCAGCTCCAGCATTTAAGAGTTCTCTATATTTGGTTATTTTATTCATCTTGACCTTGTTCTTTTTCTTCTGTATTTGGACACAATTCTGGGTTTTTACAGCTAGCTGAAATGTTTATAGAATTCATCTCTCCCAGTTTTACCTGCAGTAAATAAGTTTAGTAATTGGTGGGGGTCTGAGCGCCTATTTTCCAGTCATTTGTGTCATATTACCTATGTGGAACTAAAGAGACGTTTTCTAAATGCACCCGTCTTTCAGAAGAAGACAAAGGCAGCAAGATGGCTGCAGCCGATTCTGTGCAGCAGAGGCGCCAGTACAGACGACAGAACCAGCAGTCTTCGTCTGGTATGGACACCAAGAAAATGTTTTCTGCTTCCTCGTGTGTTGTAGCTCCAGCACTCGGGAGGTGGAGTCAGGAGAGGCCCTGGGGAGTATAAAGCCTTTAAGGGCTACATAGTGAGAGTCCAAAAACCAGCAACCCAGACACACCTGTAAATGTCAGTATTGGGGAGGTAGAGGCAGAAGGGTCAGATACTTATTCTTGATGGTGAACTTGAGATAGCCTGAACTACATGAGGGCACCCCCGCCCCCGCTCTTTTTATGAATTTTATACAAGCGAGTGTTTTACCTATGTGAATGTCTGTGCACCGTGTGTATATCCGATCTCAGAGGGGACCAGAAGAAGGCATCAGATTCCCTGTGATCTGGACCTGTAGACATTATTATGAGCCACCATTTGGGTGCTGGGAATTGTACTGAGACCCCTGGAAGAGCAGCCAGTATCCTAAACCTCTGAGCCCTGCTTCTGAATGGGAGGAGGTGAGGAACAGTGTTTGCCTTCCTGGGAAGGTCTGTGTCTCAGTTGGCTACTATGTGTGTTTCTTTGTTTCTTCTTTGTTTTTGTTTTTTGAAACAAGGTTCCTCTATAGCTTTGGAGCCTGTCCTGTAACTAGCTCTTATAGACCAGCCTGGCCTCGAATGATCTGCCTTCCTCTGCCTCCCGAGTGCTGGGATTAAAGGCTAGTGCTACCACTTAAGGCTTCTTTCTTATTTTAAGCCCTTAAATTTTTCTTTTAAATTGTTACATTGTTAGGAAAGAGGTAAATTTGGCCAGGATTGTGGCGTGTGGTCTGGTGCAGGTTACTGTGTGCAAAAACCCTGGGCTTTAATTCCCAGCATTAATAAAAATAAGGTAATTGACCTAGAGCACAGTAAATCAGAAAATGAAAATGGATAACTAATATATCCCCTAATATGCTGGAGTCTGTCATTTTAGAATATCTTAACTAGTTTTGTGAATCATTCATTTTTTTTTTGTTTGTATTTGGTGGGCATTAAGGCTGCTTTTAGGTATTTTGTTTGCTTAGCAGTAGGCAGTGAAAAATTTCCGATAATTGTAATTGTTGGCTTAAAGAAAAAGCGTGCAGAAGCCTGATGTTTACATCAAATGCTCTGTTCTTGGGTTCTGGTAGGTTTGGTTTGGTTTTGAGACAGGCTTGCCTTGAACTTGTAGCCAGAATGACCTTAAATATGTGATCTTTTGACTGGCTCTTAAATATTGAGATTTATAGCCTTGCACCACTGCAGCCAATTTTATGCAGTGCTGGGGATGCGTGGTAAGGCTAGCGCTGTACTAACAGCCATACCCCAGTCCCGCAGGGGATTATTGTAATTATTATAGCAACAATTTTTATTTTGTATTTCAAGTAACTTATTGATGCTTTTCTTTTACCGCTGGCATCGAACCCAGTGTCTGCTCTTGAAGCTTTACTTTATTAATTGGAAATAATTGCTCAATTTTGTTTTGTCTTGTTTCTGAGATAGTCTAGTGCTCACAGGCTGACCTTTGACTTGCTGTGTTGCTGAGACTGGTGTTGAGCTTGTTGAGATTTTCCTGCCTTTACTTCCCTTGTCATCAGATGGACATACAAAAGACTGATTTAAAATCCCTAGATTTCTTAGAAGTGCATTCAGACCTCTGCACTCTTGATATTATAGGAGCCTTGTGTTGGTTTTCTGCTGGGTTTGGGGATGTTGACTGTCACTATAATTGTCCTGATTAAATTTTTCTGATGGCACTGAGAATTGAATCCATGACTTTATGCCATACTAGGTAAATACTGTGTCACTGAGTCTTAACCACTAACATTTTCCCCAGTGCTGGGGTAGAACCTAGGACTTTGAGCATGCAGTGTAAAGGGGAGCAGGGTGAGTGATAGAGGCGTGTGTGTGTGTGTATGTGTGTGTGTGTGTGTGTGTGTGTGTGTGTGTGTGATATTTTGTTGTTGTTCTTTGCTCTGTGATTACAGACTCTGGCTCCTCTTCCACCTCAGAAGATGAGCGGCCCAAGAGATCCCATGTGAAGAATGGTGAGGTAGGCAGGCGGCGGAGACATTCCCCTTCTCGGAGTGCCTCTCCATCACCTCGGAAGCGCCAAAAGGAGACTTCCCCTCGGTAACAACCTTCATTAATGCTTTTGGCTAATCTGTACCTTACAGGGTGGGCTGCAAAATTATTTTAGCATTGGGCTAGATTCTCTCTGTCATTAGAGATGTGGGATCTGGGGTTTTGGATAGCTTGGTGTTTTTTTTTTTATTATTATTATTATTTATTTATTTTTTTCTTGCTGTTGGTAGTTCTTAACATTAAAACTAGACAAGGTTTGAGTGATTGCCTTATTTGTGCATGGATAGAGAGAGCAGTTAAATCACAGCGTTAATTCTAGACATTTTGAAGCTTTAAACAATGCCTTCGCAAGTGAGGCATTTCTTGAGTGAATAGAGTTCTTGACGTTTGTTTTTCTCCGCTGCTCTCAGGATGCAGATGGGAAAGCGATGGCAATCGCCAGTGACTAAAAGGTTGGTTAGACACCATTCCTGTAAATCAGGGGACGTTCCAGGTTACTGCATTTTCTGTTCAGGTGGCTGTCCCCTTTACAGGTGCATTGTGTCAGTGGAGAAAGTCTAAAGTTGGTTTGGTGTGTGTTTTGGTTTTTCTGTGTGTTAGATGAATAATAAAAAAGCTTCATGTGAGGTGTTGATTTTACAGCCTTTTCTACACTCAGTAGGGGATGACCTTTGTATTAGGGTGACGTAAACAAAGCAAGAAAAACTAAAGGAGAAACTTAAATGCTGAAAATGAATGTAAGAGTTGGTTATGTAGTCTTTGCAGAAGTGTGGGGAACTGTGAGGTAAAAGTCTTCACTGTGTTTATATTTGTCCTGTGTATGTGTAGGCACATACACGCCACAGAGGACACCTGTAATAGCTGGTTCCCTCCATTCACTATGTGGGTCCTGGGAATCGAACTCACTCAATTCTTCAGGTTTGGTGGCAAGTGCCTTTATCTGCTGAGCTCACCTCACCAGCGTGGCTTTCTCCCCCTGCCTCCCACTTACTGAATTTTTTTGATCATATGTTTATGTAAAACTAATATTTTACATCCAAACTCTATATAAAAATCTTATAATGGGCTGGGCGTGGCAGTGTACACCTTTAATCCCAGCACTCAGGAGGCAGGGGCAGGTGAAAATCTCTCTGACTGAGTTCAAGGCCAGTCTGGTCTGTATAGAGTGAGTTCCAAGATAGCCAGGGCTACATAGAGAAACCCTGTCTCATACAACAACAAAAAAACCCTTTAAATTCAAACCTGTTTCCCAAGTGAGAAAACACAGGGAGAAGTGTCCACACAGGGTCTTTGACCTGTGCCATTGACGTCTGTCATCTGTCTGTATCCCTTTTCTGAATACAGGTTGAACATCCCCTGTCTAAACTTCTTGGGAGTGGAGATACTTTCTGTTTCCACCTTTTCCCATTTTAAAATCTTTTAGAAAGACTTTTGGGAAGCAGTCATGGAACAGTGGCATATTCATGCTGTAGAGGGAACCGTTTCATGATAATGAAAAATAGAGAAAGAAAGAAAGAAGTTGGATACAAAAATATTTTTCTCCCAACTGCAGTGACTTCTGACTTCAGTGAAATTGCTTAACTGAACATCAAAAAACATAAAAATTGCTTTACACAGGCTCGTGTTAGTGTTGTAACCCTTCCCGCCACCCCTGAATTACAGAACTAGGTTTGGTTCTGGGGTGATTCTTCAGAACAGTAAAATCAGAATTAATATTCTAGCCAGGTATGGTGGCACATTTCTTTAATCCCAAACACTAGTGGTCCACATAGTCAGTTCCAGAACAGCCAGGGTTCTGTGGAGAGACAACTGTCCCAAGAAACAACAACAAAAACGAATATTCTCTACCCTGCCCAGTGGTTTTAGGTTTTATTAGTAGCTTCAAATTTAAAGCTGTTGGAGATCACCATCCGTCCTGGGCACGGTGCCACACTCAGGATACAGAGACCAACCAGGGCTATGCAACAAGAGTCTTTCTCAGAAAGCAAAGCAAACTTTGAGTTGTTTCAGATAGGGTCTTTGTATGTGCCCCTATGTAAACCAGGCTGACCTAGCACTCACAGGGATTCACCTGCCGCTGTCTCCTGGGAGCTGGGGTTAAAGGGGTGCACCGCCACACCTAACAGAAAATAGTTATTTTAAGTTATGAATCAGTATCATATTTTTGATGTTTGTTTTGAGACAGGGTTTCCTCTGTGTCAACATGGCTGTCCCAAAACTCACTCTGTAGACCAAGCTACCCTCAAACTCAGAAATCTGCCTGCCATTGCCCAGCTCAGTATATTTTAGGAAGGATAAAGTTAAACGTGATTTTGAGTGTTTATGTAAAGTGCTAAGATGAAGCACTAATCACAGATCATCTGCAAATCTAAATCAAATCTGATTGGAATTGAAATCTGCTGTGAATTTATGGCTTTTCTCTATGTAGTCTCAAATAGAAGCCGGGCAGGACCTGGTAAACTTTAGAAGCTGAGTTCTGGGTTCATAGCTTCAGTCCTGGCTGGGCAAGGAGTCCAGAACCGTTTACATTGACTTCTCTCTCAATGTGTGTCAATTTGCTTCAAAGGTGACAAAGTAGCTTAGCCTTCATTTAAGTCTTTCTTGAAGCAGCTTCTAGCTGGTTAATGCATGTTCGTATGTTACTTGTGTTATTTAAGTCTGTTACAGAACTCAGAATTGGAGGGGTGTGTTGGTTTCTTGAGTATATTTTTTAACCACATCACCCCTAGAACAGCCTCATCCTGACTTTGTCGTTTGTCTTTAGGGTATCATTAAATATGATACTCAGTTCCTTTTCAGTGCTGCACATATGTTTTTAGTACAGCTGAGAGGTAGAGTACTTGTGTGCAGTGTGCGTGCCCTGTATACTGTAGAGAAGGGGCAGCTTGGAGCAGTATCTCCAGGTTTGGGCCTTAAGCCTTTGGTGTATATTTAACATCTTAAAAATTTCTCAAAGAATTAAAATACCTGAAAAGCCTTTTCAAAGCCCAGCTTGACTGGATTTTTCCCTGACGTGGTCCACATAAGTCTCAGATAAGTTTCCCAGTTGATTGTCATGTGTATCCCAACTAAAAAAGTTCTAGTCATAATCTTTTGAAAATTTTCACTTCCTCTGTTGGGTGGTTTATGTTACAACCAGATACCTATTTCTGTCAGAAGCTAGCATCACAAAGCTGTGATTTACCCATTTCAAAAGTAAAACATTGATTTTTAAATTTTGTTTTTAATGTTGGCTGCTACCCAGGGTCTCAGCCTTAGGCTGAGAAAGCATGCTCTGGAACATAGAGTACATCTCTGCCTTGGGCTATTGGCTGGCCGTGTACTTCCTGGGGCCTTTGCTTACACATCTTACTGACCGAGAATCAACTCTTGCTTTAGCGGTAGAAGGAGGAGAAGCCCCTCCCCACCACCAGCCAGAAGGCGAAGATCTCCTTCTCCAGCTCCTCCTCCTCCTCCTCCCCCTCCTCCTCGGCGGCGCAGATCTCCCACCCCACCACCCCGACGAAGGTACTGTGTCCGAGAGACTCATGGTGGCTCTGGGTCTTTACCGTGGAAGTTGTGTTGTGTGTGTGGTAACATTGCATTTTTAGTCATAAAAGGTCACATAGTAAATGTGTGCTCCCTTAAAGAAAAATCCCAGAACACACGACTATGCAGAAACAGAAGTTAGGAGCCAAGTATATTACTTCTGCTTGGAATCTCAACTCTTGGAAGACTGAGGCAGGAGGATTTTGAGTTAGAGGCCAGTCTGGGTCATAGAGCAGCCAAATCCTTGGTGTCTGGAATAAGCGGGGAGTGAGGAATGGCAATGGCAGCACAACCGTGGGAGGTTCTAGAACCATCCATCCATCCATTTGTGCACATGAACAGCTGCACTGCTCTGTTATTGGCCATGTGCATTTGGGATTCTTGGTAATACTGTACTAGTTATGCAGAAATAGAAGAGCTAGCAGTCCCGAATTGAGGGTGTTCTATGAAGTGAGAAACCAGAAGTCTTCGAGAAATGTCAGTCACAGGCTGTGTGTGTTAGCACACGCCCCTAATCCCAGTTCTTAGGAGATGGAGGCAGGAAGAGCACTAGTTTGGAGGCAGCCTAAACTATATCAGGAGTTCGCATCCATTGGCATGTATAGCTAGACTCTGTCTTAAAGGAAACCGTATGAGCATGTGACCCAGGGTGAGGTGTCAGCTCGGGCACAGCAAGAGAATGAAGAATGGTACAGGTTAGTGGGCAGAGAAGTAGGCAGTAACTGGTTAGTTTATTCCTGTACGTCTGTAGATACAAAAGGGGGTTGTTTTGGTTGTAACTTTGGTGTGTGTCAGGGATGAGTCCATGGCAGACGAACTGTACAAGAATGGTTTTCTTTTACTTTTTCCTATATTTATTCCGTGTGATATAGAGAAAGGGAAACGCCTTTTTGGAGGAGTTTTGTTCTTTAACAGGATCTTAGTATGTATACCTTGCTGGCTTCGGATTTAGGGCTGTCTCAATACTTGCCAAGAACTGAACTTACAATTGAAGCCTAGTTAAGCTAGGCTTAACTCTAGCCTAGCTAGAGTTACTAAATGATTGCCCAGTTCGCTCTACCACCTTGTCTGAAGATTGCTTATTGTAAACCAGTTCTGAGCAGGAATTTGTGCTGGAAGACCCAAGCCCTAATTGCAATTAGTCTGAATGTTGTATTGAGGCCTAATTCCTAGGTGACATAAGACTACTTTGTTGCACCTGTAAGAAGAGAAAAGCCAGATAGAACTTTCAGAAATCCCTTTGCCTGGCAGTGAACTTGTACTAAAAAGCTGTTCTTTGAAGAAGACTGGACAGTCTGTGTTAGGAGCTTATTCAATGACCTAGGATGCTAGTGCCGAGGAGATAGCACATATTTGGGTGTGTACATGAGTGTTTTGTCTGCATGTATGTGCACTGTATCTTGTACCTGTGGAAGCCAGAATGGCGTTGAATTCCTTTGAATTTGAGTTATGAACTTTTGTGAGCTACAATGTGAATGCTGGGCCCCAAGAACTGATCTACAGCCCCTGTCACAAAGAACTCAGTAAAACAGACTTTCTCAGTTGGCCAGTGTTATTTATCACCTGGCGACAGCTGATGCTCGGTTACCACAATGCAGCGTGAGGTTCTCTTACTGTGAAATAGTGAATTGGTTCTATGCAAATTCTATTGAGTTGGTGAATTTAAATTGTTTCTGAAAGTTGCAGATTTTTCCATTAAACACAACACAGTACCCTCTTGACAGGTACGGTGGTGATCTTACTTTGAAATATATCCCCTGGCATAGTGCTGGCTATAGGACATTTACAACTGCTTACTTTTTATTTATTTAATTTTCCTAGTTCTGGGTTAGCTAGCAACATGGCTCAGTGAATAAAAATAGTTGCCACACAAATGTACTGACCTAAGTCCACATAAAGGTTGATGAGAAAATTAATTCCCCTGACCTCAGCTTACCACTCACTTCCACACATGCATGGTGTTGACCATGCACACACCCGAGTAACAAATAAATGGGTTTTGCTTTCTGAAATCTGTCGGTTTCAGCTTAATGATGTGTTTTTTCCTAGGACTCCTTCTCCTCCTCCACGCCGCCGCTCGCCTTCTCCAAGAAGATACTCTCCTCCCATCCAGAGGAGATACTCTCCTTCCCCACCTCCCAAGAGGAGAACCGCCTCACCCCCACCCCCGCCCAAGCGAAGGGCATCACCATCTCCACCACCAAAGCGCCGTGTCTCCCACTCTCCGCCTCCCAAACAAAGAAGCTCCCCAGTCACCAAGAGACGCTCGCCCTCCTTATCTTCAAAGCATAGGAAAGGGTCTTCCCCAGGCCGTTCCACCCGGGAGGCCCGGTCACCACAACCAAACAAACGGCATTCGCCCTCACCACGTCCTCGAGCTCCTCAGACCTCAAGTCCTCCCCCTGTTCGAAGAGGAGCGTCGGCATCACCCCAAGGAAGGCAGTCCCCATCTCCAAGTACTAGGCCTATTAGGAGAGTCTCCAGGACTCCGGAGCCTAAAAATATTAAAAAGTAAAAATATTTAATGCTTTTTTGTTAGGAATACATAGTTGCATAACATGTAGAATCCACCCCCCTCCCTTATTGAACAGTTATAAAATAATAAGCAAGCCAGGCAGTAATGGTGCACACTTTTAATCCCAGCACTCGGGAGGCAGAGGCAGGCAGATCCCAGTGAGTTCAAGGCCAGCCTGGTCTACAGAGTTAGTTTCAGGATAGCCAAAGCTACACAGAGAAAACCTGTCTCAAAAAACAGTAATAATTATCAAACTTTGGGTACTGTTCATATTTTCCACTTTGAACCTAGTTCCTTGTGGCATCAGTGCCGGAGAACTTTACTTGGTTCTTAGCTTCTGGTATCTTAGTCTAAGATGAAAAAACCCTTTTCTCTTTATTATTTTATGTAAATGGGTGTTTGACCCATATATGTTTGTATGCTGCCAGTGGGCAGTGTCACAAGGAAGGAAGCAGGTGTCAGAGCCCCTGAAAAGGTAGTTGCAGTTAATTGTGAGCTGTGTGAGTGCTGGGAAACGAACCCTGGTTCTCTCGGAGAACAGCCAGTGCTCATAACCACTGAGCCCGTCTCCAACCCCAGAAAAATATTTAATACTGAGACAAAGCAGGCTTCGGGAAGCTAAGAAACTGCTGTTCCTAGTGTAGTCATCATCAGTGCAGTGGTAGAGAGTTGTGGGCATGAGTGACCCCAAGGCTTGGGTGATAGAAAAGCAAGTTTCTGGCCTCCTTTGTGCATGCCTCTTCTCAATGCTGTGTTCTTTGTTTTCCCTTTCCGTCTAGGGCTGCCTCACCAAGTCCTCAGTCTGTAAGAAGAGTATCTTCTTCCCGATCTGTCTCTGGATCTCCTGAGCCAGCAGTTAAAAAGCCTCCAGCACCTCCGTCTCCTGTCCAGTCTCAGTCACCCTCCACAAACTGGTCTCCCGCGGTACCAGTCAAAAAGGCTAAAAGCCCAACTCCAAGCCCTTCCCCTGCCAGGGTGTGTATGTGCCTTGTTTGGGACAGCTTTACAATTAATTAGTTAACTGGGGTTGAGGTGATGGATGGTGGGTGCTTACAGTCCCAGCACCTGGTGGGCAGCAGCAGAGTCAGGAGTTGAAGGCCAACCTGGGCTACACGGTGACCCTATCTCAAAAACAATTAAATTACAAGTTAGTCAGTTAAATTCATACATAAATTTAGTGTAAAGACAGTCTCTGTTATATGGTGGTTCAGTTAAATAATCATTCTGTGGTGTGAAGTTGATTTTTATTCAGTAGAAACCATACTTTGAATTTGAATTTTGATCCTCTTTTTAGGTTAGTAAGCAGCAGAAACTACTGTTGACATACTGAAATTGAGTAAATTATATGAGCCATTCAACATATTACAGTCAGCTTTGTACTAGTTGACTGCCTAGCTGTTTGGTTTTTTTTAATATTTATTTATATTTTGCATACATTGGTGTTTTTGCCATGAGTGTTGAGTCTCCTGGAGCTAGAATTACAGACAGTTGTGAGCTGCCTTGAGAATTGAACCCGAGCAGTCAGTGCTCTTAACCACTGAGCCATCTCCCTCGCCCCCTAGCTGTTGTAAGCATGCTGGAAGCCATTGGGCTAACCATGGTAGATGTAACGATAGATTCTCTTAGATGGACTATAACTTAGCGGGCTTGTGAGGATGCAGCCCCATTGAGGAACATCTGGGCTAGTGAGTCAGATTAAAAAGTAAAAATATTTCATCCTTTTTTTGTTAGAAATACATAGTTGTATAACATGTAGAATTCCCCCCCCCCTTATTAAACATTTATAAAATAATAAGCAAGCCAGGCAGTAATGGCGCACGCTTTTAATCCCAGTACTCGGGAGGCAAAGACAATAACTAATAGTGGGTACAGGTGTCTGCCTCCATGCCTCCAGTCTCAAAGCCTGAGTTCGATCCCTAGGACCCCGTGGTAGGAGAGAACCATCTCTGTGCAGCAGAGAGAAGCAGGCCACTCCCACTTTTAAAGTAGACATTCAGTTTATCCTGACATTGTTTGAGCTCCTCATCACGTATTGAAATCCTGCTTTGTGTTAGCCAAGTATTTGAGTGGTTTCTGATTGCCCCTCATTTAAGGTTCATGTTTAGGAGCTGGAAGGCAACTCATGGTTAGCCCACGATTCCAGCTATTGACACCTCATTCACATCCTGGAGTTGGAAACCCGGCTTAGGATTAGAAGGAAACTGTGCATTCAGTCAGTGTCGAGTCGAGGCTCTTCCTGCTGGATTTGTGGGCAGGCCCTGACACTGGTTGTTTCACCTCTCTGAGAACCCTTGTTGGTGCTAGTTGTCTTTTTACTTCTGTGGAGCATGTATTTGTCTGTTTAAGATTCCCTCAAAATAAAACAGGATTTTAATCAGATTGATTTCTTTCTGGGTTTCTAGAATTCTGATCAAGAAGGAGGTGGAAAGAAGAAAAAGAAGAAGAAGGACAAGAAACACAAAAAGGATAAGAAACACAAGAAGCACAAAAAACACAAGAAGGAGAAGACTGTGGCTGCAGCCCCTGCAGCTCCTGCAGCCCCTGCAGCTGTTTCTGCTGCCACAACCACGTCAGCACAGGAAGAGCCTGCGCCAGCACCAGAGCCCAGGAAGGTATTCACACACCGCCTGGCTCTTTCATCTGTGCTCATGGCTAATGTTTCCTCTGGCCTGACCTGCCAGGAACCAAGGGGAAGAGTACAAATGGCTTCCCAAAAACTTAATGCTAGAATGCTTTGAGTTTTGACTTGTTGAGACTGGGTTCCTCTGTAGCTTTGGATCCTGTCATAGAGCTAATTCTTGCAGATCAGTTTGGCCTTGAACTCAAAGAGATCTGCCTGCCCATCAGTGTGTATGTAGAAGCCATTGGTGCCCCCACCTTGTCATATTTTTATTACATTTTACTTGTGTGCACATACACACAAAGGTCAAGACAATTTGCAGAGTTAATTCTAGCCTTGCACCATATGAAATCCTTAGGATTGAACACAAATCATCAGGATTGGTGGCAAGCTTCCCTAGCTATCTTTCCTAAAGTTCGCTATTTCAGGTAGACTGAACTACCAATTAGACCACCTCTTCAGCACTTGGGTCTGCCAGGACATTGCTACCTGGGGATCCTAACTCAGGTTCTCATACTTGTGTAGCAAGCATAGGGATATAACTCTGCTGGGGGATCTCCGTTTACATAGCTGTTTGTGGAGCACTTGCTTAACATGCTCAAGACCCCCTGGATGTGTTCCTCTAGCCCCAGATACCCTGGGTGTGGTAGTATGGGTGCGTGTAAGTAAGCACAGCACCTGAGAGGCTGAGACAGAAAGATCAGAAGCTCCTTAACAAGTTGTAAACAAGCCTACCCTATAGAGAGAAGTCATGATGGAAAGTGGGTGGGTTTGTGTGTGCAGAGCATCTCCCAGCATGTCTCAGGACTTACCATCTGCATGGTTTGCCTTTGTTTTCCAGGAGACTGAAAGTGAAGCTGAAGACAACCTTGATGACCTAGAAAGGCACCTGCGGGAAAAGGCCCTGCGATCCATGCGGAAGGCTCAAGTGTCCCCACAGTCCTAGGTGGACATGTTTGTTATGTTGTAAATTTTATTTGGTTTGTACTCAATTCAATTTCAAAATCGCTAAAATGTGTTTGAGCTTTAGACTTTAACATTTGTTGTAATAATTGCTAGGTTGAAGTTCACCATGTTTTTTAAAAAGAGGGGGGCATGGATTTGCATTACACAGGTGTCCATGGTGTATTAGTGACATTCTTCCATTGACATTTAGAGTGGACTACTTTAAGCCAAAAAAAATTTTTAAGGGGCGTTTAAATATTGTTGGCATTTTTACCATCCTTTTAAATGCCCTTGCCTCTCCCCAGAGGTCCCCCCCCCCTTTTTTTTCTTGTTTTTCTTGAATTTTAGCACCATGTAAATTATGCTTTCAACCTTGTATAGGTTTGTAAGCTTGCCCAGAAGTGAGACCACAAGGGTCTGAGTGTTTTAATGCGGCAAATACTTCTGTTGTCTGTGGAGTCTCCGCTGACAGCTCGGGATTCCAGCTCTAGGGAGCTGGGGAGGCACTGCTTATGGATGCTGGAGATTCTGTCCATGAATGACAGGTTCAGAAGTTGATTAGAACTCTGGAATTTTGGTTGGCTTCTGTTTTGTTTTCTTTCTCCCCCTTTTTTCTTTATCTTTTGTAAAGGCAATTACTAGACCTAGCAAGGATCCTTCAGTTAGATAAATTTGTTTTATGAAACTTCATGGCCCCCATCCAGAATTTTTTTCCTTATTCTTCCAATTGGCACACACAACTGAAGAGCTCTTGCATTGGCAGGCTGGGAGGGCCTGGACTTGGACATAGTGTCTTGGTTTCACTTGTTTTATTTTATTTTATTTTTTAACTAAAGCTATATAAAGCTTGTGGATTAAACAGAATAAATTTCTAAATTTAAGAATGTTGCCATTCACTTTTTTACTAAACTTACCTAGGTACTGCAAGACAACTCTACCTTCTTAGTAGAGCTAGGTGTACAGGGTAAATAAAGCAATGAAACAGGGTTTACCCTTTTTATTTAGTAATTAGCCTGCAAAGAGTGCTAGGAGGAGCAAGTGTGAGACCTCGGGCACCAGGAGTCTGCAAGCGAGTGCTACAGCTCTGGAAAGAAACTCTGCTTCACTACTAAAGGGGAAACCCCTGGAGTGTAGCAGTCTCCTCCAGCGCAGGCAAAAAGTTACATTTTCTGCTTCGCTCATAATAGAGTTTCCCACCCAGTGTAACTCGCTTCTGGTTTTTCTGCTCAGCACCTCTAAGGGGACTCTTAGCAGAAGAACCTGCTCCACACTGTTGAAAGATCTTCACCAAAAAATATTTTTGGTTTTTCAAGACAGGGTTCTCTGTAACAGTCCTAGCTGTCCTGGAACTGCTCTTGTAGACCAGACTGGCCTTGCACTCAGAGATCTGACTGCCTCTGCCTAGGATTAAAGACGTGCGCCACCACCAAGTAGTCACCCAAAAATCTTTTAAGGAGTCCAGGAGTGTGACTGCCTCTGCCAGGGTAGGAAAAGGACAGCCTGGGCCTGAACAGGCAGGGGGCTTATATAAGGCTTCTTAGGGGAAGACCAGGGTAAAGATTTTCTACTCAGGGATTGGCTGCTTTAGTTGCTCAGGGGCAGACTTTTCTTCCACTCTGGTTTCAGAGTCAGAGTGTGTTCCTTTGGTTCTGGGTTCAGGGCGAATGTGGTTCTTTCACTGGCTCTGGTTTTGTTTTGTTTTGTTTGTTTTTTGGGGGGGCCCTTTTACCATACAATCTGAGCTGAGAATTTAGACCCATGGTTAAAATTGATAGTAATTTCTGACCGTTGAAACAGAAGCACAAAGTGCCCACATCTTAATTTCAGGAAAACTTGGGGGGGTTGGGTTTGTTTGTTTGTTTGTTTGGGCTTTTATTTGTTTTTTGTTTTTTACTTTTATCCAAAAGTTACAGACAAGACCTCAGTAGTGGTGGGCAGGTTATATACATGGTACTTATGGGGGTGTAACAAGGAAAGGGGCATTAAATGAAGACCGTCCTGAAGGCCTCCACTGGGATAGCAGAGTCTCACATGAGTGCAGAGCTTTCCAGGTTCTTCCGTGTGTTAACAGGTGGAAACTAAACTCATATGGGAGGAGCCAAGTTCAGCGTCTGGAAGCTTCCTCCCAGTATAAACCATGAACACCGCTGGAGTATTTCCATCTGTTTACCCTTCTTTTGGAGCATTTTTGACTTTTGACTTGACTCCTGTTACTCATGAGTTTTCATTCTTTTTTTTTTTTATGTATACAATATTCTGGCTGTGTGTCTGCCTGCAGGCCAGAAGAGGGCACCAGACCCCTTTACAGATGGTTTTGAGCCACCATGTGGTTGCTGGGAATTGAACTCGGGACCTTAGGAAGAGCAGGCAATGCTCTTAACCTCTGAGCCATCTCTCCAGCTCATGAGTTTTCATTCTTTCCCTTTGGCTGCTCTTAGCAGTAACTCCGTTTTACCCAACTAAAACCAGACAAACAGTAGTCTTTGACTACACAGTGAGGTCAAGTTGTTTAGAGGTGGAGCCATTTGTGTAGGAACACATCTGCAATCCCAGCATTTAGGGAAGTCCTTCCAACAAAATTTAGAGCATTTTTTGTTTGATTTTAAAGGGTTTTTTGTTGTTTTTGTTTGTTTTTCTCAGGAAGGTTGAAAATTTAGCTCAACTGGTAGACTGCTTACCTAACATGCATGACGCCCTGGGTTTCAGTCCCAGCACTGTAGGGGGGACACCTGCTTTTCCAGCACTTGGAATCTGTGCACTGGAGAATCAAGTTCAGGTTCATATGAGATCTTGGGGACAAAGGGACAGTTGGGGTTTAAACTAAAGTGTTCAGGGCTGCTGGAAAGATGGCCCAGGGTCAAGAGGGCTGCTCTTCCAGAGATCCTGAGTTCAATTCCCAGCAGCCACATGTTTGCTCACAATAGGACCTGGTGTCCTTTGACATGCAGGTATGCATACATAAATCGTAAAAACACTGAAAATTAGTGGTCTGTGCCTGCACTGGCAGTGAAGTGCTGTAGTTTGTCTGTCAACTTGACAGAAACCTAAGAGTCGCCTGGAAAGAAGAAACCTTCATCAAATTGGCCCGTGGCCATGTCTGTGAGGCACATTTCCAACTGCTGATTGGTGTGGAAAGTTCCGTCTCCCACACCATCTCTAAGGTAGGCATGGGCTTATAAGAAAGCTAGCTAAGAACCAGGTAGTTGCCGTTTTAATCCCAGCACTTGGGAGGCAGAGCGGATAATTTTTTTTTTTAAGTTAGAAAAATGAAAGCTAACTGAGGAGGCTAAGGAGGGACATTTCTTCATGGCTTCTGTTCCAAGGTCCTGCTCTGCCTCTGTAAGATGAAATAAACCGTTTTCCTCCCAAGAGCTTGTGTTTGGTCATGTATCACAGCACAGAAGTAAACCAGGGCCCTGTTTTATTTTTGATCACGTGTATGTGTGACTATGGATTTGTGCACAAGGGTGCAGCACCAGAGGAGGCCATAATAAGAGGACATGGAATGACCCTGTAAAGCTGGAACCAAGCTGCTGTGACTTCCAGTGTGGGTGCTAGGCACTCAAGTCCTGCCAGAGCGATGTATGCGCTTGACCTCTGAGTCCAATGAGGGGCTCATTGTCCTGGCTGACCCGGAACTTTGTTGGTAGATGAAGCTGGACTTGGAGCTCACAACAGATCCACCTTCAGCCTTTTTAGGGCTGCAAGGATAAAAGTGTGTGCCCATTCCTGCTACTTTTCTCCCTTTTTGAGACATGACCTCGTGTATGTAGGCTGATGGTGAGCTCGGAGGGCTCTTCAGTTTCTGCGTGCTGGCAGAGGTGCCTGTGTTTCTGTGCTGGCGGTCAGTCTCCAAGCCGCTGTGTCATTATCCTTCCTCTCCCATTTTCGCCATATCATCTCACTGTGTAGCCCAGACTGGCCTTGGTCTCCCGCCTGCTTAGGATTACAGGTGTCTGGTACCATGTCCAGGAATAGGATCTATGTACACAGTTTTTGGGTTTTTTAAGGATCCGAGAGGGGAGAAAATAGATGCACTGAATACCATCCTACATACAAACAAATGAGAAGAGCACATGAGTTTGTTAAACATGAAGGGAAGCCTGCTTGAACTGTGCAAAGTAAAAAAGAGGTGAGGCTGAGGGACAACTCTGGGTGACAAGCAAGCGTGAAGACCTGAGCTCAGATCCTAAGGGTTTCTGGCTACTCAGGCCAGTCAGTTGGTGAGCTTCGGGTTCATTGTGAGATGTACCAAAGAATAGGGATGTGGCAAGAGACAACAGCTGGCTTCTCCAGGGTGCACTTGGAGCACACAAGACTGACAGTCGCGTAGCACGTTTCTAACAGCCATTACAGAACTCGTAAATAAATAGGTAATCATGATAGTCACCTCATAGGGCTTTATAAGGATGGAGTGGGCAGAACCTGCCCTAGGTGAGGTTGGCGGCTAATGTGGAATGAGGCAACACGGAACAGTGAGGCATTGCTGGTGTCTGCAGCTGCTCCACCCAGTCGCCGGTTCCTCCGCTGTTAACTGGGCTTGGATGGGTTGACTTATTTAAAGGGTCGTTCCTGTCACCACGTTTGATCATTCAACCAGGTGGTGGTGGTACACACCTTTAATGCCAGCACTTAGGAGGCAGAGGCAGGCAGGTTCTCTGAGTTCAAGGCTGCACAGAGAAACCCTGTCAAAAAACAAAGGTTTGATCGTGTATTGTCAAATATTAGATAGTGGTAACTATGGGTCCTGCCACCCCATCTAGTAAACTGTGGTGCTGTGGATGATGGTGAAATAATTGGGAGACAAAATATGGAAGTGGGGAGGGTAGTCCGGGCGGACATGGGCAAAGTACAATGGTACAAAAGGATGGTCTCAGTGGAACTATTTTGTAAACTGATTTTATTTATGAACGATTTGCGCACAGAAGCAGGAGGATTACCATCTTGAAACCAGCCTGGGCTATTTAACAAGCAGTATCAAAATAATCTGGCTGCAAAGCAAACTCCAGGCCAGAATAGAAAAAAAAAAGTGTTTAGATTTAATTCTATGAGGCAGATTTCCCAGCTAGTCCAGTATCTGGCTTGCATTCTGCTCCTAGCAGGCTGACACAAAAGGAAAATTAAAATTATGAGTTTTAGACCGGGCAGTGGTGGCGCACGGCATTAATTCCAACACTCGGGAGGCAGAGGCAGGTGGATCTCTGTGAGTTTGAGACCAGCCTGGTCTACAAGAGCTAGTTCCAAGACAGACTCCACAGCTACAGAGAAACTCTGTCTCAAAAACAACAACCAAAAAAAATCATGAGTTTTAAATCATAAGATTCGAATGTATCTTTTAACCAAAATACAATACAACCAACCTTTGTGTTGTTTTATTTGCCAAGGACAAGCTAAGTCTGCTTATGCCTATGGTATAAAACTCCATGACTCAGCATTTGACAGGCTCTTTGGGATGAGTTTTTTGCTCTCTGCTGGATGTGGAACCATTTTCTCTGCAAAAGTTGTTGAGATGCTTGAAGTGGTCATCGGTTGGCAAGGGGTCAGGTGAGGGTGTGGGCTGAGATCAAACTTTGAAGCCCAACTTGGTCAACTTTTGCAATGGGTGTCTAGCAAGTGATGAGAACTGGTCCCTTTCTGCTGCTCAGTGGCAGCATTGCCAGGTGCGGTGTTCCCAGGCAGACTGGGACAGTAGACTCCAAACAGTGCCTGGGACTTTTTTTTTTTTTTGGTGCAAGTTTGGCTTGGGAAGTACTTTGGGGCAACCAGTAAGCTGCTCATTGTTGTTTGCCATATGCCATTTACTTTCTGTACAGTGTTTAAAAATTATTTGTTATTGTGTGTGCGTGTGTGCATACATACATGCAATCTTGTATGTGTTTGT